TTTTTTTTTTTCAAAATGTGGAAAAAATCATTTACAAGTCACGCCATTATCTGTTAAAACCTTTTTGAATGCTGTAGGCTGCTGGTTCTTTTCTGATGACATCCCAATGTTATTTAATCAACTCAGGATTCATTTTTGATTGACAAGATGTTTGTGAGCTTGAGTTTGGGTACTGCACTTCTGCTTCAGTCCACAGATTCAGATGGTGAGTTTATGATTCTCTCATGAATTGTTTTGTGAATGAGTTAGAACTAATTTGGGGTGGGGAGTGGGAGTGGGGGTACTTACAGTAGATTAATGCAGTACCTGCAGTTTCAAATAACTCAGATATTGATTAAGCTAGTTTATATACTTACCAATCATATGCTGAAGTCCAGTCATTTTTACGTGTTAATGCTCTTTCTTCATTTTACTTTCCTGTCATTAACACCTGCATGTACAAAAAGACTTGCGCCCAAGCTAGACAGTAATGCATTTCTCTTATACTGTTGTTAAACATGTGTTATTGCTATTGTTTTTCTTTAGAATTACACTGTTGTTACTGCCATTTTACCTGAAATTTATACAGTTAATGATGACTTTTGTTTAACAACTGAGGTTAGAGTCATAGTTTAACTAAAACTTGACAAGAAATATGTCCTTTTGTTCTGTGAAAAAATATATTTTATTGAATCTGTATTGTTTTGTGTATTTAGTAAATTTGGATGGATTTATGGGAATTTGCAGATTTTATTTTAYTGAGTAAACCAATATGCACATTCTGTAAAACGATGATGATAAAACAGCAGTTTACTATGATCTATACTGCAATACTTGTAAAATACATTACAGTACATGAACAATAAAATAACAGTAAAATATTGGTGTCTTTCCTAACAGCAGTTTACTGCTATTTTACTGTTACTTTATTTTAATCTAATTTACAGTAATATACTGTTAAAATAAATTACAGTACATCCACTGTAAAAAAAAAAACTGTAAATTACTGGTGTTCCTACTGCCAGCAATTTACTTTTTTTACAGTGCAATCCTTTACAGTGAAGAATGATTAAATTTCTTCTCAAGCAGCCACTCAGTTCAGTTTAATTTTAGTAAATGATCAAACTCCTACCAATTATGGTAGACATCAGTGCAGATTTCTGGTTCCTGACGTGTCAACAGTTGTCTTCCCAGGGCACCTGAAGGAAGAGTTCAATTTTTACGGCAAATTATTAGAACTACAGAGTTAATTCCTAGCCTCAGTAACATGCAGTGTTTGTGTGTGTGTGNGTCTTTCACATTTTGTGTTTTAATAAAACAACTTTCTGTACTTAAACTGTCTCCTGCTTTTTGCAAAACCGTACCTGTGTGTCTTGACTTTTGATTTTCTGGGTGAAAGTTATTGGTTGTTAGTGACAACCAAACTTTAATGTTATAGCCCCAGAAGATCACCACTTGCCACATTAGGATGGGGGAACAATATATTTTAACAGCCTGATATAATCTGTTCCCCATCTATAAAATGGAAATAAATGTACCTGCAAGTCTTTTACTGTGTTCATTCCCCTCATCTTCAGCAAGAAATCCTGTGATTTTCATGACATTTGCTCTTTTTTTTAAAGGTTTAAAGCAGGGGAACCGTATATTTTAGATGTCTGTAATGATCCGTTCTCCCCGTAACATCTCCCTGTTTAAAATAAAAATGACTATTGGTTTGATGATCTTTATGAAATGTATTTTATGTTTAAATATTTATCAACAAATTTACTAATATTTTTTTCTGATATTGCATCTAACATCTGTACATTACAATATAAAGACATACGGTGTTTTTCATTGGAAAACTTGCCGAAACAAAATCTGGACACAAATATATTTGTGTCATGATTGACTACTTCACGAAGTGGCCACAAGCTTATCCACTAAAGAACAAATCGGCACCGGAAGTCACGGAATGCATAATTAAGTTTGTGCATCAGTTTGAGGCCCCAAAAAGGATTTTGACGGACCAAGGAAAAGAATTTATAAATTCCGTAAGTATTTGTTTTCAATATCTTGGAGAAATTTAACACTATGAATGTCCTTCTATACACTATTTGTTTCRATATGCTGTTTAAAGCAGGCTATTTTGTTATAGCTATTTGTTCATAAATTTTCAGATCAACCAAGAAGTGTGCAAAGTTCTCAACATCAAACGAAGTCTGTGTTCCCCATATCACCCCCAAACTAACGGGTTGGTTGAAAAAATGAATGGGACCATTCAAATGTGAGTACTATCTCACATACATTTTCAAAGAAAGATCACAAAACAATATGTTTATTTGGTAAAATACTTACAAAACAGGAAGAAATCAGTTGTTATGTGTGACGTATTACACCTTTCATGTATCTCAGAGCTCTGAGTTAGGTTGTGGATGGCCATCCACACAACTGGGATAAGTATTTGGATGCTGTGATGTTTGGGATACGTACCAAAAAGAAATCTTAGAACCCATAGTTAGGCTCTACAACAGGGCCTACAAAATTCATTAAAAACTTCCTGCTT